CACCGTGCTGACATGTTAGTTGACTGGTCACTAACATGGCATCGAACTCTGTATGCTGACATCATGATGACATCATCCTCCATCCAAGTCAGTCATGTGGGTCGGGTAGTCTGGTATTCGGGTTGGCCCGTTCAAGCGAAGAAGATGCATAACACTCGTGGGGCACGTCTGCGCGAGTAGGCATCCTCCTCGCCAACATGTGTGGGTGCGTGGGGCCATTTCTGACATTTTCTTTTTACATCGTTTTCACCGGCGTGCTTATCTCTTCTTTCTCTGCACGGTGATATGGTCAAAACACAATTTTGATAACTTTTATTTTTGAGAAAAAATTAAACGCCACTTTAAACTTGATGCTCTAATACCAATTGTTGGAGATTCCGACCGGTGATGTTTTAATAATTGCTTATTGGTAGCTAAACACACTAACACAATATTTAATATAGTTCATCAAATCGTTTACATTCATGGAGGAGGTTCATATTACTAAAGATAGAGAAATGATACAATACAAATACACAGAGGAGGAGTATTATATTCACTCAAACTCAACTCCCAACTCTTATTGCTGCAATTGCAACCCTTCTATCTTTTTCTTTCTTGTTTTCACTCTCTTTATTTTTGCTCTCAAATAATAGCTTTATTTATAAACAATTTATGGTAAACAAGAGGTCATAAATTATAACATAAATAAAAAGACAAAAACCATAAACCATGTCACAAATGATGACACTAAATAAGTTTCCACTAAACAGCACTGATGTTGCCACAAAATGACAATTCCTAACAGCTCTCTCCACCACTTAAGCAGCACAAGGAAAGCCCGTTTCTCTAGATTCTAGAATTCAAACTTTGCACAAAGCTATGGAATCTAAAATTATGTCTGAATTCATCAGGTTGCTTTCTTGTTCAAACAGACCTCTCCTCTGCCATTAGCAGCGCAGAGACATGTGATGATTGGTTTGGAGAAAGGCCAACAGGCATAACATTATCATTTCCTGAAATGAAAACGAATCTCTGGCAGCAATGCTAGAGTGCGTTAAAACTCATCAAACGGTTACACAAATAGAGAATGCTTGATAACTGAAGGTCGTAACCACAACAGTTCTAAGAAAAACTATAAATTATAATCTTTGTAATTAAGATTTAAAGAAAGTTTTTAGCGGGATTTATGTAAAATTATAACGTACATTAATTAATCAAATACTTTCAAAACACTGCTAATAAAGACAAAACGCAGGTACAAATGGAGCCATGTTCTCAGTTGACGCACTGATTAGAGACCCTCATAATAGAATAACAAAACATGTTGCTAAAATAAACGACATGAAGATAAAAACAGACAGACAATCTCCATTAATCAATTAAGTAGCCGAGAGGGAACCTCTAGTAGATTAAAACAAGAAATATACTTAGAAATTGTAATCTACCATCATCGACTATGACTTCATTGGCTTTTGTCTTGTAACCTTTGGAGATTTTTAATGGAATGGAAAAGGGTTTGCATTAAATATGAAATAAAAGTGGGAAACAACATATGTCCCACTTCATTGTCAATGCCTGATGCATTACTAGCCATTCCTCTTAATTATTTCTCTTTTCTTTCACCGGTCTAATAGCAGAGCACACTTGGCATGTAAGGTGCTTCTTTATAAAAATCCATTAAAAATATGAACAAGGAAGGTTAGGTTAATATCAACATGGGGTGGTGCTAGGATTTGTAGTTAATGAAATCTTATGTTTGGAGCATTCTAAATTGAATTTAATTTAAAGGATTTAACAAAATTTTATGTTTGAAAGCTTTTCGAGCGTTAAGAATTGGACTCCAAATGAGATTCAATCTCTAAAAATGCTATAAAAATAAATTAAAGATCAACTCCATTTGCAATTTCAAATAAAAGAATTTTAATGTTAAAACTATTTTTTTTTCAAAATATTCATCTAGCCTTTTTCTTAACAACCTTTGAAGAAATAAAATGAAGGTAATAAGGGTACTAGAGAAAACAAAATAAATTAAATTTTATCTCTTTGAAATATATGAATTCAGCTTATTTATCAATTGAACTCAAATTAAATGCTATAATTAAATTCAATTAAAGTAGAAAATTGGTTCCAAACAAGGGACATAAGAGTAAAGATTCTATTTCCATAGGTGTTATTACTTTATTATGTAGTATTAGATTTGAACAAAATTATCATATTAAGATGGAATAGAAAATAATTTGTTTAATTAATAAACTCATACAATTATTCTAAATAAATCTCCCTTTAGTAGATATGTCATGGGGGTAATGAGAAAGTTTTTGGGACAAATGTCTATAAAACAAAGGGGCAAACTAAAACTCCTTAAACTATCAAGGACTATTATGAAACTATTAAAAAAATATTAGAGGGGGCAATGTGTTGTCTTTCTTTTTCTTTTCTTTTTTAATTTTATTTTAAAGGCAGCAGAGAGAGGCGCTGCAGCCTTTGTGGCAGGAGCTGCCATGGGTAGCTTGTGTAGGCTGGAAAATGAGAGTGATAGAGAAAGAGTTGAGGCAATTACAATTTACAAGAGGGTGTGAGAGAGAGGTTTGCCCTCCTCCAGTAGTGTAAATTGTGGTTTTCTCCTATCTAATGATATTGGCTGTCCTGTGAATGCAGGCAAGTTGCCGAATCAAAATAAAAATGTTGTGATAAAAATGCTATGTTCAGCCTTCGGGCAAAGTTAAGCGGTCCTAACATATTGCAGTGGCATTTGTTAAGCCATCCTTCATGCAAGTTTGACCTGGACTTTTAATTCAGCCGCTTTGCTTTCCGGTACAGATTTAATGTAGATTTGGACAGGTCCTTGTTTGAGCTAGGTCACAACTTCCAGTTCTGAATTCCTTCCAGTTCTGAATTGCAATTTACTCCATTATCTTCAATAGGTTCAACCGGGCTTGAGCAGGATTATATGTGCTGAAGAAAGGAATGGTTCAATGAAAAGGACAGACAGATTAGAAGATTACACAGCCTTAATGTTTGAAATTAGTTTACTGTTATCTTTCTATTTTTACGTAGGGGACAACTCATGAGGTAGATTGTTAAAGCTCCTTCGAATTCCTGTCAACAAAGGTTGCCGATCTCAAAACACTGGCAGAAGGATTCTGGGTTCTGTGGTGAATTCTTATTTTAGCAGCCTGCGCACTTATCAGTAAAATGACCATAAGTCTCAGTAGGAATCTCCAAATAATGCCATCGTTTTTGATGCATTGGAAACTAGACACGCATTTCCAAGGACAATGGCCTGCGTGGTAATTTGCTCATCTTCGATGCAGTTCCACTTTTGAATTTGAAACTGAAATCTTGACATGTCGCATATATTTTCAGCTTTGGTGATTTCTTCGGTGATTTCTATAGAACCACTAGAGAGCTTTCGATATCTATGTTAGCAGGTTGCAGCTCTGCGGATACGAATAATTTATATAAGGCTGAATAATTTATACAAGTGGAGAAATTCAATTTCAATTTATGTTGTAATATAGAAAAATACTTTGTATCTTGATCCTGTAAATCTTGACAGATCTTTCTTGTGCTTTTAGAACGATAGGTTCCCCAAAAAATGTAAGAAAAAACTATACTCACATCAGAGATTGGAAGGATTAAGAGAAAGAAAAGGGTATCAGAATGACATGTTGTTCCTGACCTGAAATATCCTTGCTACAAATTTAACCAACCTTAAATATTCCTTAGTTTTTAACCATATATTTGTGTTTGTGCTACTCAATTGATCAATCATTATTTTGTCAGGACGGCCACTATTTCTCACTCTGCAGCAAAGAGATGACAGGAATGAAACAGAACGAAAGAAAAATGTTTCCATGTCATGTTTATTGTAAAGCTCCAAGCTTAGCTAGGCAGGAGAAAGAAAGTAAACAGAAATGCAATAGGCATAGCAAAGCTTTAAATTTCCTATTGAATACAGTTTCTGTTCCATTCCCATGAAACTTTCAGTGATAATTATCTTTCTATGAATTTGAAGTACATTTCTTGTTTTCAGACTCAATGCACAATGCAAACACTTGTAGATTTTTGTGCAAGAGCCATTAGAGGATCATTTCCGGCTAAATTTGATATGAAGGCTAAAGCACTAGCAACTAGCTTCTCAAACTCTAATGAGGAGATTTTTTGTTTGCTTTTCCAGCGAAAGTATCCCCGCGTGTCTGCGCCAAGTCTGCAGCATCTCTAAACCCCGGTACTAGCATCAGTGTAACATTTAGAATTCAACGCTGGCAGCGAGTCCTTAATCTCGTCAAATGTCAATTGTAGTGTGGTAGATGTATTTATCTGAAGTTGTTTTTAAATGAAGGTTGATGTGGTTGTGTACTTTAGTACTGCCTTTCAAAGCTTTCTCTACTGCAAGTTAAGCTATGCCTTGGAGACCAAGCCCATGGTTTTCCCAGATAAATTCAACAATAGATTTGCGCAGGTCCTTGTCTATGGTTTGGTCATAACCTTCACTTATCAAACATCCCTTTTCATCCAAGGAATTAATGAGTTTTAAACAACTAAGACATATCTGTATTCATATCAGCAATTGGAGAATTTTGCTGGTACTAGTTCCTGGAATCTATCTGTCTTCATTTAAGAAAATTTCCCTTTCATTACGAAGTTCACCAGGCCCTTTGTCTGGCAACTGGCCAACATAACCATGTTTCTCTCTTAAACCTTCTAATCTCAGATGGGAGCGGGATTCTAAGATTAATTGTTTAGAACAGCTCGTCAATCCAATCCGGGGACAGCCAAGAAAAATCAGTCAAATTTTTGCAGATCAAAACATGGGAAACACGTGTACGTCCCTGATAATCATATTGGTCGTTGCCTTTTTTCAGGAATTAAAACTGGACAAGGGAATTCATTAATATTGAACTTCATAACTTCTTGCTTATATGCGTAGAGAGCTAGCAGCTTGTTTCAAGATCTTTATGCAAATGCGATATTAGCAATGAGATTATGAAAAAAGCTTTAAAAGCATAGAAGGGCTGAAAAATTACAGTAAAAAGAATGTAATCCAATAACATTGGAGCACATCTCCATGAAAAATATTAAGGAGAAGGCTCAAGCAGAGAGGATAGTATTCAGTTCGCTTTACGCACAAATAAAATCCTGGAAACTGCAAAATGGATTCCCAAGAAGAACTATGTGCGAGTCATTAAACAGAAAAGGATGAGAAAACATCAAAGCTTATCACAAGACATCAGAAAACGAAATCTTTTTGTTCGGAGAGAAAGCGCAGAGAAATCAGACGAAGATCTAGACTGCTTCTACTAGTTCTTTTAGAGAGATAGAGAGAGAGAGGCTAGAGGAACTGCTTTTTGCTGGTAAAACCCTAGTTAGGGCGGGCCTTAGAAGAGCTTATATAGAGAGAGAGTTGGCAGGATAGCAGAATGACTATACTACCCTTCCTTTATTTTGTTTTTATTTAAAACAAAATCAACAAAAAATAGCACATCCTCTTATTTTTCTTATAACTGCATATAAATTTGTCCACTTTATTTCAAGGATAAATTGCCAAAAATAAATCTATACCCGGTTCACTCGCCAATTTACCGGTCCAACCAACTGGCCATTTTGATAGCATTGATCAGCAGGGTAAGTATGTCCTGTTGGGCACCGAAAATCAAATAAAAAACTAAAATAAAAGCCTCGTCTGTGAGACAAGCAAGGTATCTTGAAGAAACAGAGTATTCCATGAATTCTACAAAACTAAAAACTTCAAATAATATTTTTTTTTTAAAAAGGATGAGTTGAATCTCATTTCCTTCCCCAACACACCCTTAATCAACATCATTAACGTTAATCGATCATAACAATAAAAAAGCACCAATCTTTAGCAAAAATCACTACCCCGAGCTCTAAATCCTACGGATTACAAACACAAAATCCAACCATTTTCTTTTAAAAAATTATATAAAGACAAATTTAAACCAACAAGAATTTAAATCATCACAAAACCCCCCAAAAGATTCCTAATTTACATGACCAGCAGAGAAATCGATCCAAACAAAATAATCCAATTGACTACAATAATCAGAAAACTCCCCTGAATGAGGAAAACACATAATCGAAAAAGGATAGAAACTTGACATATGGGTTTCCTGTAAAGAACCTGGAAGAGTAAGAATCTGAGGAAGATGAGTGATGGTGTTTTACGGAGGCGTTACGAGTGAGACTTAATGTTGTTACTACTCCTTTTCCGGATCTTGAGAGCTTCTCTGTCCCAGCGATTGCGGCAACGGCGACGGTTGCAAGAGGAAGGAGAGCAGGAATCGGAGGACAGAGAAGATGACGAGGCTGACATTGACTGATGGATTGATTACGGTTTGGTGATTGTGAGATTTGAAAAGGCGAAGTCAGTTTTTGGCGTCGTCGTGTGCTTCCCTGTGAAAACTGAAAAGTGGTGAGATTTTCTATTTTGAGTTAATTATGGTATTAGAAATAATTATTTAATAATATTATAAATGTATCATATTATTTAAAAATAAAATCTAATTCTTATTAATATAAATTGATTTAAAAATACTCCTTGTTATAATAAAAAAATAATTTTCTATTTAGAATATGATTTCTTTATTTATCAATTCTCCATGTCCCACCTAATTCTCATTTGGAATCATGAAATTAACTATAGAATTAAATTATAAATATCTTTAAAAATATAGAAATTATATACATACATTTATATTTCTTGAAGTCGCCAATTATATTTTTTTCAATAAAAAAAAAGAATTAAGTTATACAGTTCAATGTTTTGATATTTTCAAACCAATTTCCTCTCCTTAGGACTAGGGTTTGTTTTTTTTTTTTTTTCAATGTGATCTTCGCAGCTTCTCCTTAATTTGAACATGAAATAATAATGCAGGAAATAAACCAATAATCACTTGACAAAGTGCATCAATGGCTCGATTTCTCTTCTTAAGAATCAACAAATCAAAAAATTAGTTCAAATCATTTGAAGATTTGATATTTTTCGAGTTTTGTGGTATGGATACTGTATAAAATTCATAGCAGACATTATTTGGATACCTGAAAATGATCATTTTGTCCATCTATCATAGACAGGTAAAAACTCTCTTAATTTTTTTTTATGACTCTACATTTTACATTTTAATTTAGGCAATTAAATGATAATTAATTAGCAGTACTTAATCAATTTAATCAATGTTTTAGCTAGAGCATTACTTGTAAATGAGAAGAAGAAAAAATTTGTTTTTCATCTGCAATACTTGAAAAAAGATCAATGGAGAGGGAGAGGATTAATTAATCTAAATCAATGATTTTTGTCACTAATGATCAATGGTAGAATTTGGTTTACGTCTATTCACGGGGAGCATTAATTGGCATTAAAGACAAACAGAGATTGTTAAAATTTGAAAGAAGAAGAAGAAAAAAAAGAAAAACTCTCTTAAATCAATCCCTTTTTGAAGCTTATTTTCTGACCAAGAAAGGTGTGTAGGGGATCCCGGTGGCCTTGATCCAGGAATCACCCTTTAGGAACCTTCCTGGTGTGAAATCCATGGCATGTTGACGGTTGATGGTCTTGATTCCATTCCACTTCACACGAAGATTCTTGCTAGAACCAGGACCGTAGTTGTTGAACTCTGTGTACCAACAAGTCTTGAGTCCGAAAGTTCCGAGCCAAGGCAACCATCCTTCGGGTTGGATGAGATCGTCGATAAATGACTCCATGATGATTGTTCTTGAGTATTCCTTCCATGGACGGCCGAGGTATGACTTGAATTGTTTTCTTTCAGGGAATAGGTCAGGGTGAGCTGTGATAGTGCTGTTTTGGATGATAAGAGCTGATGGCTGCCTCCTCATTTTCCTGCCTTGAGCAGTCACAATGCACTGCTGGTTTTCCAATGGCTTGCGGACCAAGAATTTGCAGTTTTGGAAGACTGCAGAAGCATCACCGAAGACGAAGTCAATGGTGCCGGAGATGCTGCAGTCTCGGTAGAACTGACGTTTGGCATGTGTGTATAATGTATCCTGGTGTCCGTCCATTGAGCAGTTGTAGAAGACAGCGTAATCAGCCGAAACTCTCAACGCCACAGCCTGATGTTTGATGGCACCAGCATTGTTCTCGAAACCAATATTCTTGGCCACAAAGTTATCTCCGAGGACAGCTGCAGGCAATTCATGAAATTCCAGGACATATATAATAGTGGAAATGTGTTAGATTTGGGAAGAACATAGAGAATTCTCAAAATAGACCAGGCTTACATACCTACTGTTGCGGTGTGGAAAGTGTTGATTCCATCAACAAAGTTCTTGTTTCCGATGATGCGAGTATTTTCCCTGCCATCTCCTATCACCACCAAGTTAATCATGCCCTTACTGATCTCAAGGTACTCTTGATAAACTCCTGCCTTTATGTGTAACACAAAGGCCTTTTTGCTCTTGATGGGAACATGTTTCAATGCTTCTCTGATAGTTGAGAAATCTCCACTTCCATCCTTGGCCACAACAATGTCAGCCTTAATCTTCGAAACGGGTGCAGCTAGGAGCCTGCGGGTTCCAAAGTCAGTCCACGTGGGGAATTGATCACCATGGCCAAGAACAGGTAGATCGTCTTGAAGAAGGCGGCGGTGGGTGAAACTTTCCAATGAAGGGATTGCGGAAGAGATCCCGGAAACGATGTCAAGGAGATTGGCGCTAAGCTCCATGCCCAGCTTCATTCCCTTCTTCATTTTCTTTCCAGCATCAGTGGTTGTGTTTTCAAACCCGTCCAAGCAAGTCTCTTGATATGTGATGGAAGCACTAAGCCAGGTCTTAACATCTGCCATCAATGTCTCTAACTCACTAAGATCAAAATCCGTTACTTTGTTAAGAGATTGCTTGAGCTCACCAGCAGACATGTTCATAAGCTCTTTGCAGCTCTGAAGAGCCCCTCGGGTTCTTGCATCCTTTGAGAGTTCCTCCAAAAGCTTTGATTTCTCGGAAGCCTCATTAATTTGCTTCTCTGCAATCTTGAATGCTATTTTGATCAACTCCTTAGGATTGGTGGTGTTTCCAGCAGCTTTTTGGAGGCTTTCTTCACATGTTTTTCTGTAATCAGTGGGCTGGCAAATTGCTTTGACGGCTTTCACCGAGGCAGAAACCTGACTAGTGCTTTTATGACTGCTGCCATTGAGGTCGTCATTACCGTCATTGTTAAGGCCAACGCCAACGGTCACAGCTACAACCATAGCTACCAAGAGCATAGAAGAGACGCCGATAATGGCCAATCTCCTCTTTCTCTTTGAATCATCCCCGGAATACATTTTTATCGAAAAAATAATAATATTTATAGAGAAATAACTTTCAATATTAAGAAAGGAAAATAAAATGCTCAATCTGATCACTCTCTTTTCCTTCCTTCTGTTTTCTTTTAGCTGCTAAAGGCTCAAGAAAGAGGGGTAAAGCTCAGTTAACTAGCCTTCCCCTTAATTTGAAACCTGAAAGACCGAGTTGAAGTGATCTTAGAAAGAGGAATATATATTTATAAGAGACTTGAAGAACGATAGGCTTCCAAAGTTGGTCAAGTCTGTTACAAAATTTGAGGCACAGAGGACAAAGAGACAACCAGAGACAAGCTAGAACATTGTCGTTGTTTTCTAAATATGGAGCTTCACCGCTTGAAGTTTCGAGGAACATTTTTATTGGTATTTCGTCTTAATTTTAGGCCATTGACCACTTATCTGTAGCTGTTCTAATGATGGATAAATGGTTGGTAAATGCTCGTACTCTACCATCTAGCATATACACCATCCATATTTTAAGAAAAAATAGTCTGTTTATTTTTAAACTTAGATGCACGCATTGAGCTTATCTGTTTGCTATATGCTCCAGTGGTCAATTCTGAGGTCATATTTTAGCATTGCTCTATAGTACATGGCAACTCAGTAGCAACTGACAGAAAGAATATGTTGGTGTTATGATGCAGAGCTTCATTGTATGAACCGAAAACTCAACATTTCTATTACAAGAATTGAAAACCCTTACGTGCACACTTGAATGTTCTTGCAGAATTTATAGCCGGAAGAGCAATGAAAAAGGTTATTGAATTAACTGGTATTAATTTGACATGTCACTAGAATATTCTTTTTTTAGCAGGACAATATGTCTGAAATTAATTTCAATTCAACTCGAATAGTTTATTATAGAAATTCAACCCATGCTTGCAAAATAATTGAAAGGTGATCTCTTCAGAAAAATATTTCTTCTTATCAGAACAAACTGCATCCTAACATTTGATACCTGATAGGTTCCACTGGGGCTAATGCCGCGCTAAGTGATTGAATTTGAAGACAGTGACTTAAATTCTATCAATAATTATGTCTGAAAAAAGAAAAGAAAAAATTCTAGATAAACCATCAAACATAAGGCACTCCTGTTGCTGTCTGATCCTGGACCGATGTTATTGAATTCTGCATAATAAAGCGTGCTGAGGAGCAAAATCTTCAGACCATGCTGCTCAACCGGCTTGTTCCATCAACTTATTAATAAACGACTGCACGTAAACAGTTCAGGATACTCCCTGCATGGCCTACCTAGTTATGTGTTTGTAGTACCATTACCTGAGGCCTAGCCATCAGCGGCCTCAATGACACAATCATGTATCCAAGTGCCAGTGCTTTGGTTAGGATCAAATCCGCCTTTAGCATTTATGGCAGTGTACTGTTTGTCCAGTGGAAATCGCGGATAAATCTGCGCAATCCTGGAACACATCTGCTGCGTTACCAAATATGAAACCAAACATCCCCTGTATATATGTGGTTTCTTGGTCTCCTTTAGAACTCCATTTATCAGCTTGATTTCTCACTGCCTCTTCCTGGTTCTAATGTTATATACATATATATTGTTAGGTATGCGATCAAAGTTCCACGTTAGTTAGAAATGGGGAGGATCAAGGATATATAAGGATGAACAAATATCTTCATTGGTATGAGGCCTTTTGGGTATAACCCAAGAGCAAATCCATGAGGGTTTAGGCCCAAAGTGGACAATATTATATCAATGTGGAGATAAGTGGTGTTCATAATCCTTACAAATGGTATCAGAGCCATGCCCCAGAGTTAGCCATGATGGATGAATCCTCAGAATGCCAAACAAAAGGTGGTGGGCCCTAATTAAATCACGATGTGATCCATGGATCAGCTCTATTGGATAGGCGGTGTGCTCCGGATGTTTCATGGACGTGTCCTGACCCTAACACGATGAAGTAGAGAGAAGTAGAGAATGAAAAATCCTAGTTGGTAGAGAGTGGATGGATAAATAATCATTTGAGGAAAGGCTCGATGGTCCTTTGTTCGAGGGAAGGATTGTTGGATATGCGACCAAAGTCCCACATTGGTTAAAAATGGGGAGAATTAAGGGTATATAAGGATGGACAAATATCTCCATTGGTATGAGGCCTTTTGGGTATAACCCAAGAGCAAATCCATGAGGGCTTAGGTTCAAAGTGGACAATATCATACCAATGTGGAGATAGGTGGTGTCCATAAGTCCTTACAAGTGCCATTGGTATGGGGCCTTTTAAGTATAATCCAAGAGCAAATCTATGAGTGCTTAGGCTCAAAGTGGACAATATCATACCAATGTGGAGATAGGTGGTGTCCATAAGTCCTTACAAGTGGTATCAGAGCCTTTTGATTGGTGTTGTTAATACACAAAAGTTATTCGTGTATACGGTTACTATTCACGTCTACGACACTATTCACGTCTACGACACTATTCACCTATATAGCATTATTCATCTATACGATATTGTTTACATTGTTACTGTTGGTGTATATAGAAAAGAAGTGTGGTGATTAAATACAATCAAGAAGTTCTGTCTAAGGAGATTGGGTTTTAAACGGGACCGTTTGTGACCCCTCCAATCTTTCTTGGGAACTTACTTAGTGAAGTATTATTCACATGATACTATTTATATATACGTTGCAGATCAGTGAAACAGTGATAGTTGAATAGATCTCGGTGAATATAATGACAGCAAAGTACGAGATTGAGAGGTTTAAAGGGAGCAATTTCTCACTATGGAAAATAAGAATCAAGGCAATTTTAAGGAAAGACAATTGCTTAGCAGCAATTGGAGATTGACCCGAGGAGATCACTGATAATACAAAATGGAATGAGATGGATGGCAATGTTATTGCTAACATACATTTAGCATTAACCGATGAAGTATTATCAAGTGTGGCGGAGAAGAAAATAGCTAAGGAGATATGGGAGACTCTAACAAAGCTATACGAGTCTAAGTCTTTGCACAACAAGATTTTCTTAAAGCGGAGACTTTATACCCTTCGAATGGCAGAAACCACGTCGATGACTGACCACATCAACACAATAAGAACTCTATTTTCATAACTCACTACGTTGGGTCAACAAATAGAGGAAAATGAATGTGCATAACTTCTACTTCAAAGTCTTTCTGATTCATATGATCAGCTTATTATCAACTTGACAAATAATATCCTCTCAGACTATTTAGTCTTCGATGATGTTGCAGCTGCTATCTTAGAAGAAGAAAATAGGCTCAAAAATAAAGAAGACAGAAACAGTTCAAACCAAGCAGAGGCATTGTTGGTGTCAAGAGGAAGATCAACGGAGCGTGGCTCCAGTGGGAGTCAAAGGCAGTGGAGGTCCAAATCAAGAAGTAAGAAGACTATGAAATGCTACAACTGTAGTAGAAAAGGGCACTTCAAAAAATATTGTTGGTTTAAAAAAGGTATAGAAAATATTGTAGAGTCATCAAAACCTCAAGGATATGTTGCAAGCACCTCCGAAGATGGAGAGGTTTTATATAGTGAAGTAGCAACAATCTCTACAGATAGAGAAGAGCTCACTAAGGTCTGGCTAATGGATTCAAGAGCAACATGGCATATGACTCCTAATTAAGATTGGTTTCATACATATAAACCCATCTCTGGAGGTAAAATGTTCATGGGTGACAATCATGCTTTAAAGATTGTTGGTATTGGCACCATCAAATTGAAGATGTATGATGGCCTAATTCGTACTATTTTAGAAGTGCAACATGTGAAAGACTTAAAGAAGAATCTTTTGTCCATAGGACAATTTGATAGTCTTGGCTGTAAGATTCGAATAGATAATGGAATTATGAAAATCATCAAAGGAGCGCTGGTGGTTTTAAAGGCAAGAAAGACAGTTGCAAATATATTTGCTTTAATATGAGAAACACATCTTGAGGTAGAAGCATCAATCGCATCAGCCAATCCTGCAGAAGAGAAGACAATGATGTGGCATCAAAAACTAGGTCACATGTCAGAGAAAGGTTTAAAGGTTCTCTCTGATCAGAAGTTACTCCCTAGGCTTACAAAGGTTACTTTACCTTTTTGTGAGCACTGTGTTATAAGTAAACAACACAGGTTAAAATTTGGCACATCAACAACTAATAGCAAATACATCTTAGACCTTATTCACTCTGATGTTTGGCAAGCACCGGTTGTATCCTTGGGGGGAGCAAGATACTTTGTATCATTCATATATGATTTCTCTAGGAGATGTTAGGTGTATCCAATTAGAAGGAAGGCAGATGTGCTTGCAGTCTTTAAAACTTTCAAAGCGCGGGTGGAACTTGAATCTGAAAAGAAGATCAAGTGTTTGAAGACTGACAATGGAGGAGAATATATTAGTGATGAATTTGATAACTTCTGTCAACATAAAGGTATCAAAAGGTAGTTCACAACGGCATACACCCCACAACAAAATGGAGTGGCAGAGCGGATGAACAAGACTCTATTAGAAAGAACAAGAGCAATGTTGAAGGCTGCAGGTCTAAGAAAGTCATTCTGGGCAGAAGTAGTCAATACCGCCTATTATGTGATAAATCGATCTCCATCAACTGCAATTGAACTGAAGACACTAATGGAGATGTGGACTGAAAAACCAGTTGATTATTCTCGATTGCATATATTTGGAAGTCCTGTGTACGTGATGTATAATACACATGAAGTTAGCAAACTGGATTCAAAATCCAGAAAATGTGTATTCTTAGGATATGCTGATGGAGTGAAGGGGTATCACTTGTGGGATCCCACTGCCCACAAGGTGGTCATCAGTAGAGATGTCATATTTGCAGAAGGTAAAATGCAAATGGAGGAAGATAATAGCATTTTAAAAGAGACTACAGCAGTCCAGATGGAAAATACTTAAAATAATACTTCTTTTGAAGCTGCATCAGATCATGAAGAGTAAGAACAAATAGAGTCTGAAACTCCTGAAGTTCGGCGGTCGACTCGTGAAAGAAGACCACCGGTCTGGCACTCAGAATATGTTACTAAGAGTAACATTGCATACTGTCTTCTAACAGGGGATGGAGAGCCATCAACTTTCCACGAGGCTATCAAAAGCACAGATGTATCTATGTGGATGACAGCAATGCAAGAGGAGATTGAAGCTCTGCACAAGAATAATACTTGGGATCTTGTTCCACTAACACAAGAAAGAAAGGCCATTTAAATAAATAGGTTTACAAGATAAAGCGTGATGGTAACGATCAAGTGGAGCGCTATCGTGTAAGATTGGTGGTGAAAGGATATGCTCAGAAAGAAGGAATAGACTTCAACAAGATATTTTCTCCGGTGGTAGGACTCACTACAATTAGAGTAGTCTTGGCAATGTATGCTATATTTGATCTTCACTTAGAGTAGTTAAATGTGAAAACTGCATTTCTTCATGGAGAACTTGAAGAAGAAATTTATATGCTCTAATTAGAGGGTTTTGCTGAAACAAGTAAGGAGAACTTGGTTTGCAAGTTGAACAAATCTCTATACGGTCTCAAACAGGCGCCGAGGTGTTGATATAAGAGATTTGATTTCTTCATAATTAGCCTTAGGTACAATAGACTCAGTTCAGACCATTGTACGTATTACAAGAGGTTTGAGGAAGATGATGTTTTCATCATTCTGTTGTTGTACGTGGATGACATGTTGGTGATAGGCCCCAACAAAAGTCGAGTCCAAGAATTAACGACACAATTGGCTAGGGAGTTTGATATGAAGGACTTGGGACTAGCAAACAAGATTTTAGGGATGCAAATTTACCGAGATAGAAGTAAGAGGAAGATTTGGCTTTCTCAGAAGAATTATTTGAAGAAGATCTTGCGACGCTTCAACATTTAAGATTGTAAGTCAATTTCCACCCCACTTCCTATTAACTTCAAATTATCCTCTAATATGTCTCCTAGCAATGAAGCAGAGAGGATGGAGATGTCTCGAGTACCGTATGCATCAGCAGTGGAAAGTTTAATGTTTGTCATGATATGTACAAGACCAGACATTGCACAAGCAATGGGAGCTGCGAGTCGATACATGACCAGTTTCATTTTTTTTTGTTTTCTTTTTGCTCTCTGTCTCTCTGTTTTTTCTTCTTTTTTCTTATATCCTTCTCTTTTTCTCCCTCTTTTCTTTTTTTCATCCTCTAGTGGCCTTCTTTCTCCCCTATATTTATAAGGAAGAAAGGAGGCCTACATTCTTGCCCAGTCAATGGCGTAGGGGTGAAACGTAGTTGAGGTGGTCACTGTTCAGCTGCTCTTCTACCATCCTAGGGACGCCTCGTTCCCTAACTTTAACACGTAGGACGTTTTACAGGTGGAAAGGTCCTTAGTCAGCGTCTTTTTGAGTTATAGGAGAAAGGGAAGGTAGTGAAAACAGGAAAATAAAACTTTCTTCTTTCCCTGTTTTTTACATGTCTAGGGGAAGAAAAAAGGTTAAGTGCTATTCAAAATAGCACCGTTTTAGGCTCTCTTTTTTTTTAACAGTGTATGAAACTATGTTGTTTTTGACAAAATGCGTCTTTTATTTAAAAGAAAAGGATGACAAAATGTGTTAAAATTCACATTGGTTTTCAATTTGAGATTTGTTTAGTCGAGTTCTCAATTTCAATTTTTATTGTAAAAATTAATTTAATTGCATTCTTATAAAATTCAATCGTCGACTCTGAAGTTGGCTAGCCACCTTTTCCAAATTGATTTTTGGTTTTGGATTTATGCAATTTAACCCTCAATTGCTCAATAAACTTTTTATTTTTTCAATTTGACCCCTGATTCTGTTTTAATTACAACCCCTCTATTTACGTGTCTTTTCCAATTTGGTCCTTGGTTTTGGATTTTTTCAATTACATTTCTAATTGGCCATCAAATTTTAATATTTATATAATTAAGCCTTGATTTGATCAAATTAATTCTCATAAATTATAACTTGATCCAAAAACTTTAATTTCTTCCAATTAAAACCTAAATTGACTTCAAAATTAATATTTATTGTAATCATATCCCCCATAAATTCAATTAAATCTTCAATAAAATTTAATTGAGTTCATAAATATCTGATTTTAGGTTTTTCTTTCTCAAATTGAATTTTCATTGTCAATAGAGCTCTCATCAGTCAATAAAATATCGTTAAATTTTAATATTTGTATTTTTGAACCTTCTCAACCAATTTTTAACTATTTTTTAGCGTCCTATCATCTTTTTTTTCATTGTTAATTTTTTTAACATATATTTTTTATTTTTTATTTTTTTATATTTTCTCTTTTTTTTTATAGAAGGATCTAAAAATAGATTACAACACTAACACTACTAAAAATGCAAGAAGGGGATGGTTGATTAGACTTACATATAGGATCATACATAAGGGAGATTATCAAGTACTATATGATTTTGAATAATTCATTATTGTAATTTATTTTTATAATTGTTTGGTTATATTCCTATATATTGTGTCATAGAATTTTATTTTATTTTTGTTGGCTTTAATAGGCTTAGCTTATTGAGATTATTTTTCAAAATGATCATTAAGATTTCAATATTATCTTTATATATAGATATCCAAGTCATGAAATTTTTTTATTAAAATCGCCATGAATTTGAGGGGATATATTGAGGAAACATGGAGGAAATCGAAAGTAAATATTTAGTTGATAAATTGTCATTTATTAATTGTGCTAAGGATATTTATAGCATGCAGCAGTTCCTCTGAATCAAATCTTAATTGATTTTATAGTTTTATAGCAGAATATTGACTGGTATTAATTTAAGTTCTTAGTGAACTTAAATCTTGATGCATAAAAGATCACAAAATATGATTTTAACATCGTTTCTCTTATTTTTTTAAAAGTTTTTTATGTAATTGTTTTTCCAAATAATAAATAAGGATATTCTGGTGTAGAAGGAAGGTTTTGGTCGGGTTTTAAGACTTTTAGATAATTTCTATATATAATTCTATATTTTCTCATGAACCCTAATTAACATTTAAAATGAGATCTTTAACAGAAAAACTAACAAATCAGAATAGCTGCAAAAGGAAGTTAAAAATCAGCAAAGATTAGCCGAGTAAAATTAACCTTATTACAGCTATAAAAACATATAAGAAGAAGGCATTCAAAACTTTTTTGTCCAATCACTGAATCCCATGCAAATAAATCTATCCTTACCACACAGCAACAGACCATTGTATTCCCTAGCAGCTCATAGGTTCATGTTGTTGGCCTTTGTTTCCGGTTCAAAGGCAGCAAATGCTCCCTCCAAATTAATGCAAGACATTTGCAAGGAAACCGCAAAATCCCATGGCTCGTATGATGATTGTGTCAATGCCCTTGAATTGGATCCCACAGCTGATTCTGCAGATATCAACAAACTCGCTACAATTAGTCTCCAGTTAGGAATTTCCAATACAGCTGATACTCAAAATTACATAAAGAAACTACTTAAGAATGCCCCACCTGAATCACAAGAAACCCTCAACACCAGCTGATTCTGCAGATATCAACAAACTCGCTACAATTAGTCTCCAGTTAGGAATTTCCAATACAGCTGATACTCAAAATTACATAAAGAAACTACTTAAGAATGCCCCACCTGAATCACAAGAAACCCTCAACACTTGCTTGTCCTCTTACGTAGCAGCCACTGCTTCATTCAAAAGTGCACTGTCGGAGCTAGGTGAAGATCCTCTTTCAGCCAACTACGATAGCTTGGTTGCCGGTGATGATGTCCAAGCATGTGAGGATGAACTGGCGAGGAACAAGGCTCAAATGCCTGGAATTACAACCAGAAACAACTATGGAAAGCTTTATAGTGCGATTGCATTTGTTGTCACAAATCATCTGCCACGGATATCTTAACATCATGTATAATCGTAAATGATTATTCATGGTGTTCAATCCGAATTCCAAAGAATAAAGATAGATGCTCAAATTCTACTAGTTGTTATTTTTGTTATTGTTATTGAAAATAAACTTTAAGACATGGGTTAAACAATACTGTTCACCCACGCAGTGAAGAACGTCTCATATTTCACTATGGATTGTGGACTGCGAGGTAGTGATATTTCTTGTTCATCAAACTTTTTTATTAAGTGGGAAAACACTATAGCTTCCCCACGGCTTTTAATTTTCCCCATTTTCCATGCCTTTTACTTTCCCCCTTATTTCCCCATTATTATTATTATTATTATTATTATTATTATTATTATTAAATTATAACATATATATATATATATATATTTTAATTTTTTAATTTATTTTTTTATGCTTTTATGGTTTTTTTTCTTTTTTTCTTTGTGTATTTTTCTTTTGATGAATTGTTTTTGTTTAATTTAGTTTGTTACTGGTAAAAAAAAACATTTTATTTAGTTATCAAACTTTCATGACACGGATCCCGAGTTTGATGGATTAACCTGGTTTGATGAGTTAACCTATAATTTTATTTTTTTTGTTTTTTTCTTTTTAATTAATTTTTTTTGTTTAGTTTAGTTTGTTAATGTTAATTTTTTTCTATTTAATTATCAGGTTTTCATGACACGTATCCCGAGTTTGACAGGTTAACCCAGTTAATTAAGGGTTAATCCATCTAAGGTTTGATGGGTTAACCTGATTTGAAGAGTTAACCCAATTAATTCAAAAAAATTTTCTTTTTTTATTAGTTTTTTTTCTTCCTATTGGTTTTTTTCTTTGTTTTTTTATAAATTAATCTATTAATTATCATACTTTTATGACACGACCTTGCATCCAGATGCATATCCAAAGCTCTTGGGTCCAGTGTTGCAATCAAACTCACTTAAACTTGAGTTATACAAGTTTAATATTATTATTAATATTTTAAATATTACTCTTGGGTCAAGCATTACAGTTAAACCAAAGGTTCTTGAGTATATTTTTGAAAAAAAACATAACACTCTTAGATCTTAGACTTTTTTGATAATTTTTTATGCAAGAAAAAAATTTGTGGCTTATGCCTTTGTTTCTTTTTTCTTCTTTTTTTGTTTTGTAATTATTCTTTTAATTGAGTTTTTTAATATTAAATTTATTCTGTTTAATTATCATACTTTCATGACACGGATCTCAGAATTAACGAGTTAACCCAGTTGATTCAGATTGTTTTTCTTTTTCGTCATTAGTTTTATTCTTCAGATTTTATCTTTTAATATTGTATCCAGTCCATGGTGAAAAAACTGATACCTTTATTTTTTTTTATGTCTTTCACTATTGACTGCACAGTACAATCCACAGTAAAAAACTGATGTCTTTTTTTTTTTTTTTTTTGTTGATATTAAATTTTTTTTCTATTTATTTATTAGATTTTCATGACACGGATCACAGGTTTTGATGGGTTAACTCAGTTAATTTAGATTTTTTTTTCTTTTTCTTCATCAGTTTTTTTTTTCATTTTGGTTTTTTTTTCATTGATCTATTTAATTATTACACTTTTATGACACAACTTTACATCCAAACTCATATCCAAAACTATTGGGTTTAGTATTACAGTCAAATCTACTTAAACTTGGGTTTAGTATTACAGTCAAACCCACTTAAACTTAGGTCATTCAAGTTTAATGTTATTATAAATATTATTTTTGGTTCGGGTATTATATTCAAATCCAAGACTCTTGGATATAGCTTTGCAAAAAAACCAAACACTTTTAAATTTTAGTTTTTTTTTAATATTTTTTATATAAAAAAATTGACCTGTGACATTGCGCGGGTCATATAACTAGTATTTCATCATTAGTTTTGTTTTGTGTTTTTTCAATTGATAGTATCTAATCATTGCATTTCTTTTAGATATAAAGGTTTTGTTTTAGATTTTAAAACTTCATCGTGGAGCAATTTAATTAGATATGCTCTCAATTTTTAGCATTAAGATAGAATTAAGAGTCTAAGGACCAACTTAATGAGAAAAGAAAAGAAAACGCATGGTGGCCAAATTTCAAACTCACATGTAAAATTTATATTTAGTCCCCATATTCTATGTTGATTTTCTTTTAGATCCCTAAAGTTTTTAAATTTTTTATTTTGATTCAGAACTTTATTTTGTTTATCGAGATTGGAGCTATAATGCATTATAGTGTTGCAATGTGTTGCAAGCGCAACACTATAATGCATGGTTCTTGTTGAGATTGGAGCTAACAGGACATTCTTGATGCTTGAGGATGATGTTGTGTATTGAAGCCCATCCAAGCAAGTTTCTTGGTTGGTCAAAATCGCACTAAGCAAGGTAAATCATCAGCTTGGCAACCTTAAAGGCCATCACCAGTACTAGACGTCAGAGTTTCTATTATCTCTGACATTTAAATCTGTGTTTTCTTGAGCTAAGCACAGGCAATCTTCAAGGGAAAGAATGGTGGACTTATGCATTGTTGAGGGAAGCCTTGAGTGATATTGAACAAGACCTAGAAATTTTTTAGCATGTGACAGATCGTTGAAGGGAAATCTTAGCATAGTCCTGTATGGTTCCAGGCTTATTATATGGTAAAGAAGATTTGCAAAAATAAGGGAAGCGTGTGCTGTCGCAAATGGTATCCCGTGTGTTAACGATGGATGAAAACGAGATTGCAAGAGAGGGTGAAGAAAAGAACATGAGGAAAGAAAGCATGCAAAGGTTCTTCAAGAGCGAGGTTGCGTTTATTTTACATGGCTTGGACAAATTATGCAAGCATGGTCGAGTAAACACTTTTTTTTTCTTTTCTTTTGGTAAAAGAACAAACACCAAATTTAACATTAAGTTATATTCCTTGAAATTAAAATTTAATCATAGTCAAACTTACACATTAATACGGGCATATTGGATCCCAACTAGCTGGACATGGCCAGGTGTGACCCCTAAATTGCAATCCAAATACAAATTAAATATAGATAGAAATCAAACACTTTGCTTCAAAACCATGTGCTATGTATGCTAGCTTAACTGCCCAAGCCTACTGTGAACCTGATGCCGGTGGATGGCAGCCATGACATGCCATCGATGAACTGCGCCACCGTAAAGAATTTAGCTGTGCGAGCATCCTGAATAATGTGGTAACCAGGCCATTTGACCCGCCCAGATAGTAATGCTCCAGGGCCACGGTTCTTATACTCACCATACCACAACGTGCCTAATGCAAAGTTACCATACCACTCTAGCCACCCTCTAGGCTGGACCAAAGCACTCATGTATGTGTTCATAAAAACTGTCCTGGAATATTGCTTCCATGGCCGCCCTAAGTATGTTGGTTGCGAGGCAAAGATGTAGCTGTTTTGGATCGAGAATCCGGTGCTTTGATGAGGGTTTTTCCTTCCCTGAGCGGTGATTGTAACCTTCTGTAGTGGTAGTGGCACTCTAGTGTAGATCTTGCATTCTTGAAACACAGCTGCACCATTGCCAAAGATGTAATCTATGGTTCCGTGGATTTCGCATTCGCGGTAAAATTGGCGGAGGGAGTGGGCATAAAGGGTGTCTTGGTAGCCTTCCATGCTGCATCGGTAGAAGGCGGATTGGTCCGAATCAACTCGAAGGGCCACAGCTTGATGGTTTAATGGTCCAGCCGTGTTACTAAATGTCATGTCTCTTGCTATGAATCCCTTCCCAGAGACCGCTGCAAGCAAAAAATCATCACAGAAAAAACATCAGCATGTAGAGCAAAAACAAGCAATATAAACAGCATGCACAAATTTCCGAGTACTCACCCACAGTAGCAGTTCTAAAGGTAGTCCATCCTTGCATGAAATTGCGATTGCCTGTGACCACGGTCTTCCCAATACCATCCCCAACGAGCATGATATAAGATTTCTTTCTCTTCATGTCAACATTTTCTCTATAAACTCCCTTCTTCACATATATGATATATCTTCGAGTACTATAACTTGGAGCTTCATTAATGGCCTCCGTAATGGTACGGTAATGACCGCTACCATCGAGGGCCACAATTGCATCTACGTGCATACCAAGAGAACTACCTTCCAGAAGCTCTTGATCACCTTCTGTCATCCATTCTGGGAACTTATCAGAACTTGACTTTGTAGTAGTTGCATTATCATTTCGTGTAGGTTTAAAGGGTAAGATATGCAACTGAGTATACAAACCTAACACATTATCAATTAGTTGTGTAACTTGTTTTATGCTTCCACTGATAAAGTTCTCGAGATGTCGATCTGTGCCTTCAAATCCTTCAAGGCATGTATCTGGGTTACTTAATGCAGCGCTAAGCCAAGCTTTCAAGTTTCCTTCATAATGAACATTCTTCATGCCTGCTCGGATTTTGTTCATCTCCATTAAGGACCATGCTAACTCAGATACAGAGAAATCGAGAAGTTCTTTGCAGTCCTCGATCGCAACTTGTTCGCGATAGCTGATAGACAAAGAATTGAACTTTGTAATCGTATCGATGGCTCGCCTCGCTTCATCGAGCGTAGCTCTAAGGGCAGCATGGATGATTGACTGTGCAGTAGGAGGACCACTCTTTTGAAGCTCAGCTTGAAAATTTGACAGGCATGAACTCAGGTTTTCAACATGACTACAAGCCCGCAAGATCAAAGCTTGTGTATTTAATTCTTGTTGATCTTCTGCTGGGATTACATTGGACAAAGCTTCAAGGGAAGGTAGAAGGAATACAATAAAAAGAAAATTAGCTAGGGCCATCATGTGGGCAATTAAAGATGAGGAGAAAGGAGATGCTTGAGTGATTTTTTTAACAGAACTTTTATAGCAGAGGGAATGTGGGATTTGTTAGCTTTCAAGAGAAGGGCTTTATCTGTTAAGTTTCAAAAGATACCTTCCTGCATGCCTTTTCCTTGGACGAAGTTCAAGTTATGCTTACTTCTGAGGGCACGGTTTTGATATTCCTTAGGTACTTTTCCCTTGATAGTTAAGTATAATGCCTCTCTGTACGTGGGATTCCTAGACTGTTTGCTGCACTTTGCAAATTTTGCAGTGTGAACAAGCTCAGGGATGATCCCACTCGCTAATTAGAATTTGAAGCATAATGAGAATAGGAGTGCTACACGTGTTGGCATGAAGATTCCGACTTCTCTTTGTTCCAAAGAAAGAAGATTCTGAATGCAAAATCTTGCGTCTGCAAGTCCAACGTACAATGTCGTAATGAGCTACCCTACAAAGAAAAAAAGGAAAAAAAAAGAAGTGGCTCACACCAAGAATGGAGCTAAAAAAATTTACTATCCTTTGTTATAATATTATAAATATATAAAAATTATTTTTTAAAATCAATTATTAATTTTTATATATAAATTTATCAAATTAATAATAAAATTTCAATCCAAATATATAACACAAAATATAAATAAAATAAAATTTAAAGTATATAAAATTAAAAATAAAAATAAAATATACTATTAAAATTGCATTTTTTGATGTTTTGTAGCATAAAATTCATCTATGATCGAATTCAAATCATTATTTTCAACAAATTCTCGTTCAATATAAATCATCATAGAATCCATTAAGAATTATTTTTTCATTCTATTGCAAAATATATTTTTAACATGTTTCATAGCTGAAAACATCCACTCTGTAATGGTAGTATAGGCAAAGTCAAAATAAGATGAATTAACTTGTCAATTAAATTATAATACAATGACTTATTTGTTTCAGCTAACCCTTGATATAATTCAAAAATAGTAAATATATTTTGAAAGCTCTTATAATAAATCACATCAATCTAACAAATGTTCTAGTTGAGATTTCAAATAATACATTTCTTCTTCATTGAAATCTTCATGATAAAAATTTTCAGCAAGTTTGGAAATAGTATTAACTTTAAATGATTTAAAGTTATCCTTAAATTCTAAAGCAGAGTTAAATACAATTTATATTTTTTTATTTGAATTATTTTATAGAATTTAAATTTGTTTTCAATTTGATACCCTTTTTATTTCTCAATTTATTGGATTTGATTTTTATTTTTTTATTACTATTTATTTTATTTAAAAAAAATTATGATTTTATCCTTCATTTTTTTATTTTTATGATTTTTAAATCTTGGCAAGTTTTTAAAATTAATATATATATATATATATATATATTATTTCATACTTTAACATTGATCTGGCTTTTTAGTTGAGCCTAAATCTAGGATTTAACGAGTTGAAAATTTAAAACATTAACCTAGATTTAATAAATTTATTAGAATTTTATTTTTTAAGTTTATTTTTTTATCAGTTTTATACTTCGATATTTAATTTAAGTTGTCTTTTTAAAACTTGAAAAAAAACTCAAAAATTAATTTTTTTTTAATTTACTATGATAATTGAAATTTTTATGAAAAATAATTATAAAAATAATTTAGTGGTCGCCAAAAAATGTGATAGAACTCCATTTGCTTTTTGGTCTGTTAAAACCAAACTTAATAGATATTTTATTTCCTAATTTTTGTTCTTAAAAGCATGCTTTTCAATTAACTGTGTATTTTTATAATTTTTTTCTATTTGGGCTACAGCTCATCTCAGCCCTTTAAATACTTTTTCTATTTTGGCTACATCTCATCTCAGCCCTTTAAATACCTCCGCCCTTTGCTCGCACGAATGGAGCACAAATCATGCAAGGATTAGGAAGAACCCAAAAAAGGGCTAGCATGCAGGAAATCATTTGCAGCTTAATATTGTTTTTGTGTTAAAAAAATTAAAAGATTTTTATTTTTTATTTTTAATTAATATTCTTTTAATTTTTTTAAATCAATAAAAAATAATTTTTAAAAATTTTTTAAATTTTTTTTAATATATTTTTACCTAAAAAACACTTTAAAAACAATAATTACCATATATCTAAATGCCAAAAAGCTAAAAGACATAGGAAAAAAAAAAACTTTTAAAAATACTGTGCACACATACTAAAATCACAATTCTTTGTGACGCCGCAATCTTTTTTTTTTATCTTCCAGAGAAAAGAGAAAGAAAAATGAGAGGAATATAAATGTGGGTAGTTTGGTCCTTTTGCATTATTTATTAGTCATTAAATATTTAATCAGGAATATATGTGATTTTTTATATTTTTATAAACAGTAAAATTATTTAATAAAAATATACTTTTTTTCTAAGGTATTTTAAATTTTATATTTCTTAAAATATAGTTAAAAGATGATTTTACCATTGAAATCAAGAAAAAATAAAGCAAGTGCTTTCACGCTAGTTTTTTGGTTAATTCCATAATCATGGAAATCTAGTCTTTTTAGCTTGATTAATTAATATTTAAATTTAAAAAGTTATTGGCTGTTGTTGTCTATGTACCTGGACATAGGAGGCAACCTCCGAATAATCAAAAAAAAATTATTGTTTTATTAAAAATATTATTATATCCTTTTTTTCTCCTAGTATTGCATGTTATGTCGCAAATGGGACATTCCCCCCTTTTTTTTTCTTTCGTGCCCTGAAAAAACGTAAGTTGATTTTTTTTATTTTTAGTATTTTAATTTTAATTTTAAATTTAATTTTAAATTTAATTTTAAATTTTTTTATTTTTATTCTTAATTCATAAAAATATATTTCTTTTCAACTTCTTCAATTTTAATTTATCATATATTATTTTTTATTTAGCTCTTATTTTTTTAATTTTAAAGTTTTTCCTTTGTTTTTTTATAAAAGTTTTTTCAGTTTTTAATTTTAACTTTAATCCAAGTCTATGGTGTTATTTTTTTTAATCTAGTTTTTATTTTTTTTATTTTTTTATTAAAACTATTTTTCTTTTCAATTTAATCCTATAGTTAAAAATTTATAGTTACCCTTTGATTTATTTTTTATTTGATTTTCACCTTTATTCTTTTAATTGTTATTTTTTTATTTTTGATATTTTTATGTAATTGATTTTTTTTCTAATTTAATCTTTTAATATTTAATTTGCTGAAAATTGAGTTTCATAATTTTTTTCCAAGTCACAAATTTAAAAAATTAGAGTGGGTCGATATTTTTATTTGCTTTTTTTATTTTTTGATTTCTCTGTTCAACATTAGTTTTTTGTAAAAAAGTCATCCTTCTATTAAGTTAGTTAAGTTAGTTTATGTCTTATTACTAATGTCATGATTTTTTAAGATTAAAAATAAAATTATTTTATTTTTAATTTTATTCTTAAATATTTAATTTTTTTAATTGGTTTTTAAAGATAACATGTTAACTAGAGTTAACTTGAATCTTTTTATTTTTTATTTTTTTAGTTTATTTTTTCAACTTTCCCACTCAATATTTTTTTTATTGTAAATTTTATTTCATTATTTTTCTAGTTTTACCTTCTACACCGTGAGTCTCAACTCAAGAACACAACTCAAGAACACGATCATGACTTTTTATTATTCACATAGGTTGATTTTAGCTCTTTTTTATTTTATTTTTAAAATATCAATTTTATTTTTTAACATTTATTTTTTAAAAAATTAATTTTCATGTATTTTTTCACTGTTTTTTATATTTAATTTTTTATTTTAATTATCTTTTAATTAAATATCAATTTATTTAATTAGAGCATGGTCAGTTAGGACTATTCATAACATTTGGCTATTTTGGAAACAACATTCAGCATTGCATATGAAATACATCACTCTCATGGCTTGTCGAGGGTGTCAACACGCGATACAGCAGAATTGAGCTTTCAGTCAGAAAAAACTTCTCCATTTCCAAATGCTTTTTATATTACCATTGTTGATCTCACCAGTCAACTTCAACTTATTATTACTTGAAGTCTTAGACAGAGTGATTAAAGTACACCCTTCCAATTATGAACGACATGTTCTACAGGCCATGAAATACTTCATGACAGCATGAAATAAGATACATCACGTGATGTTATAAACCCTGAGACGGCATAAAGCCTTTATAATGCTCTCCTAATACTGTTCTAATCCCATCTAATTCTGCAACCTCTGGCGTGCAAAATCCCCAGTACTTCAGAGGAGAGTAAGAAACCAAGAGCAGCAACTAGCTTGACCTTCTTGATTCGGACACAGCAGGCTCTAAGTGCAAGGTCGAACCCCTCCACCGAAACATTCCTGAGGTGAACCAGATCTGCGTCTTGCAGGCGTGTCAAATTTCCCATCACCATGCATAATGCCATGTCTGTGATGGAACAGTAGCTCAAATTTATCTGCCACCATTAATATATTTCAGTGTTTTAGCATGGAATTCTCAACCTTAACACCCAAAATACAATAAATTGTGCCGCTAATTGGAAAAAAGAAAGCAAAACCAGACTATAAATTCTTTAGCATAATAAACAGACAGCTCTATTCAATTTTGGTCAAATACCTTGTGTTCCATGATAAATAGTTATTCTTTCACTTCTCATTCATTTCAATATCCTGATTCCCCAGACCCCCGTAGAATAAAAACCATATCCTGATTCCCCAGACCCCCGTAAAATAAAAACCACTATGTCATTTATATGTCCTGTTACCTCCTAGATGAACTGCTTCTATGCATTTTTATTTCTCCTATTCACACATGAAAGAATAATACTTCAATAGATACCAGTCCCAATTGGATGTCCCAATTCAATACCTGTCGCAAGTTCCGTGAGTAATAGGAAAGTGCCCAAAACCCAGTATCATCAACTTTCCCGCAATGTTTTAGGTCCAAATATGTCAGTCTCTTACACCTGATCACCAATGCTGTCAAACCCACGCCTGTAATTTTATCAAGCGCTCTCAGCTCCAGGTCAGAGAGTTCCTCCAGATAGCCAAGAGACTCCATTCCTTTGTCTGTGACCTCAATGCAGTATGACAGGTTCAGCTTCCTTAACTTCTTGCAGCCACTTGATAAAGCTGCTAAACCATCATCTCCGATGCCCATACAGCTGTGTCCAAAAAATACATAAAACAGTCAACTCACACTTCTAATAGGGAGGAAAATAACAATAACTATTTGGCTTAAATTACCGGTATAGATCAAGTTCATGAAGCTGTGAACAATTGGAAGCAATATAAGAAAGTCCTGTATCTGATATGTTGGTGCAAAGCCCTAATTTCAAATATAGAAGTCTGGAACATCTAGAAAGGCGTTCAAGCCCTGCAGATCAGAAGTGCACTAGAATATCAAATTTAACTACAGAAGCAATAGAACATTTGTTAGAAATAGATTCAAATCAAATTACAAATAACAAAGTCATCAAATCAACTGTGTAACAAAAGATTTACATGACAGAACTCATATCCTGAAAGCTTACCTCTGTCATTTATGCCAAAACAGTCAGTGAGATCGAGCTCTTCAAGTAGTGTGCAATGTGATCCAAGCTGTTCAAGACTCTTCTCAGTGATCATATTACAAGACTCTAACTTCAGGCACAGAAGGTTCCTACAAGAGTCTGCAATAGCAGAAATTGCAGCATCGGTTATGGAACGGCAACATGTTAAATTGATGGTCTTCAAATTGACACAGCCAGATACCAGCTGCATAATTCCCATATTGGTGACACCTGTGCATTTGCTCAACCCAATTTTGATTAAAGACCTGCAATTATTGCTGATTGTCTGGAAAACAGTGTCAGAAACTCGAGCCCCGTCAATTATGATGGCGTTCAGATTCTTCAATTCCTGCATGCACTCAACAAAGTTTGCAGACAATTCCTGCAGGCAAGACCAAGGATCAGATTTAGTTCATTTTACCTGAAAAGATATTCAATTTTAAAAAATCAACAGATTGTTAGCATTGACTTACTGAAATGGTGTAGCCTGCATCAATCTGTAGAAGACCATTATGTCCACTAATCAAGGCATTTAACCCAGATGAACTAACACAATCACACCTTGAAACATCAACTTTCTGCAACCAGCAGAACATACGAATCTCGATAAATTAAGAATTCATTACTTCAATTATACAAGCTTAAATTCTAAATCATTCCCATCACATTGAAAGTATGGTACCTGTAGTAAAGGGCATCCATTTTCAAGAAATTGCAATCCAACATCATTCACTAAAGGGCATCCCACCATAGCCAAATCCTCCAGCTTTGGCAAAGCAGCAATAGAACGAAGCGAGTCGCTTGTCACCTGAAGCCAACCCACTCAGCTATCGAATTACATTACATGCATCAACACAGAATTGATCTAGTGCATTGCAGAAAACGCAACAAGAAGAAGAAAAAATGTCCATATTCACTCAACATGTATCGTATACTATATTTTGCCTCACAGAAAGGAAAATGTTAGAAATTCAATAAAAAAAAAATTCACATTTCCCCTGCTTTTATCTACTTATAAACCCAAATTTTCCAGTTTCTACATTTTCTCATGAAACAAACTGTGATCTTATATCTCTAAGGAACCTTGCAAGCTAAAGTAGATCAAATGAAAATGCAACATCAAATAAGTGATTATCAAACAAACCTTGAGATAAGAAACATCTAGAAACTTCAACTCCAAGCACTTCTTACACAAAAGCTCAACACCAAGATCACTTATCTCCATACACCACTTCAAACTCAACCTCACCAATCTCCCACACCCAACAACAATCTTAGCCAATCCAACATCACTAACTCCTAAACACTTATCCATCCTCAACTCCTTCAGTCCTCCACAACCTGATATGGCTGCTGCCTCCCTATCACCAAACCCACAACAATAAGACACATCAACACTCTCCAAACCCTTACAGGCACCCACCAACATTTCCAATCCCGCAAACTTCAGCCCATTAGCCCTACTCAAGTTCAAAAACTTCAAGTTCCTTGCCCACATCGAGTGGTCAACACGATGTAGTAACAATATTATGGTTCCATCCTCGATACATGGACAGACTGATAGGTCTAGCGTGTGGAGATTGGTGTAGTTCTTGAGGAGAGTCGGTAAGAACTCGACATGAAGGACGCGTAGAGTTTTGCGTGTGATGGAGTCAACTCGATGGAATTCTTTGCAAATGAGCCTCCATATCTTGCGATCTGAGTCTTGGACGAGTTTCTCATTGACCCGAATGAGTAAATCTTCTGTTAAGACGGAAAGTATTGGTGTTGATTGAGTTGACATTGATTTGCACGATTTGCAATAACCAAGAATTTGCTTTCTTCGAAAAAAAAACTTCAAAAAAAAAATGAGTTTTTTTCTTCAAACAGAACACTGTACGTGAGCAAGAATTTAGATTCTTGCCATGACGAGCAGAGGTTGAGGTTGCAATAACATTGATTTGAAGAACTCGTAAGAGAAGGATTGTCTTCAGCGATGGAAAAAAATCCAGTTTCCGAGCAAGTTTTTTCTTTCTAAAGAAAGCTTGTTTATTTGAGGAAATTAAGGTTTGAGTTTTCTTGGGAATTTTGAAGGAGATAAGGTTTGTGGGGTGTTTTGGATTTTAGAGGTGGTGGAGGTGTTTAGGTAGGGACAAAGAGGAAGAGGAGGCGGAGGTGGAGGAGAGGGTGATGGGTGGGTTTAGAGAGGCTTCGAGAAAGGCTGAGACAAGTCTTGAAGATCCAAATCATTTTCTTTTTCCGGTGACTGACCGATCAGGGTTTCCGGAAGGAAAGGAAAACCGATGAGGTTGGTGGTGATGTAACAGTTGCAGAGGAAAATGGAAAATGTTTGTGTTGTAGTGGAGAAGATGGAGGAGATGGTTCCGTGTACGGCTGACCACTATAGCGAAATATTTCCTTGATTGGGGTATCGAATACGAAAACTTTGGTGGGTCTAGAAGTAGAATTTTCTGGATTTGAGTCATTTGACTCACCTAATGATCGGATTTGTTAATTGAGCAAATTATAGTTTACTCCTTGTAATTGGAGAAATTGATAAGTTAATCCTTTTGGATTTTGATTTAAATATGCCCCCATATTAAATCTATATAATTTTATATTTCTATATATATTAGTTAGCGGTACGTTTGTTTGTATGTTTGTCAATCGCAGTTGGTTGCATAAACAAATGCGCATTTAATTATTTTGTTGATTATATGTTATGTGTTAAACTATAAACTATAAAAACAAACTCAAAAAATTAAAAACTCTACTATCCCAATACATTAATTGACAAGCACATCCCTAATTTTTATAATACATTAAAGTGTCTTTTGTCATTGTAGCCAAATTTAATAAAAAAATTTAGAACAATAACATATGTTATAAAAATATTAAAAAAATAATAGATTTTGTAAACAAATACTACTGGGAATAGGGTTGTTTAACATATACTATAGTTAACTCAGAATTTATAAAGATTCAATAGCGATAAGATTTGTGATCCAATAATATAAAAGATAAGTTGATGTGGCATGAAAAAGAAAGAAAGAGGGAAAAAAAGGGTTATCAAAGCTTTGTTTATTATTATTATTAAAAACAATTTAATAAAAAAAAATTAAACACCATAAAATAACATTAAAAGAGATCATAATTGACCAGAAATTTTGTTAGGGATCAATTTAGAATTAGCTATGATATTATGGGATAATATTCCAATATATAAATAGAATATTCAATATTCCCATTAAGATGTTTATAACAATAACAAACATGTAAAAAAGGATCCATGGTATGTTACTAGTGACCCGTATATTATTTTCATTTTCTTCTTCTTTTTTTTCATCACATCATTTTATTTCTCTTCTTTCTTTGTTACTTGTTCTTGAATTTTTTATATCCATTAAATATTCATTAAAAAAATTTAGACTGATTTTTATTAACATTAATTTGCAAAGAAACAAATATTTTAAAATACAACAAAACAATTATTATTGTACAAACTGATAATAAAAAAAGGTGAGTGTATTATAAATATGTTATTTATCAAATACTTTCTAAAGTAATTCTTCCATAAATTTCACAAAATAATTCTAAATTGGATGCATTTGGACATGTTTACAGCCAGACAAGAAAGATAAGAGTATTTTAGTAACTGAAAGGTACAGAAAGCGGGCAAAGTTTTCTGCACTAACGTAAGAGCCGTCCCCACTGTTTCCTGCCGTACGATGGGGGCAGGATGGAGAGCATCAGGGATTACAGGGACGCGTGTTGGGTGCAGATTTGATTCAGGAAAAAGTACACAAAAGCAAACTTGAGTTTTTGGTAAACTACTTTTTGACCCCTGAAATAAAAACATATTCTATTTCAACTCCTATAGTTTGGAATAGTCAAGAAATCCCAATAGTAGCTGTGCTTGGGATTGATTTTTAAGAACCAAGGTTTGCATCCAACATTATCAACTTGAAATACAATAAAATTAAAAAAACAATACAAACTTAAGCCATAATTATAAACATGTACAATGCACAACTTGATAAATTTTTAATTTTTTCTAGCTTTTTTTTCTTATTTGAGATTTTCGTACACATTATAATAATATGATTTGGGTAATAGACTATAAATATTTCAAATAATGGCTTAAAAATCATATTCATTAATTAATTTTTAATTATCAATTTGAAATCATATTTTCAAAAAAGTTTAGAGTTATAACAAGCCAGATTTTATTATTAAAAAAATATATAGTATTCACATCAAAATATTTTAAAATATTAGAACTAAAAAGCTTTCTTGCTTGTATAGTTCGAAATCTAAATGCTCCTTAATGCGTTATATTATTTTTAAGTTAATATATGAAAAATATATAAATACAAAATAATATGATTTAATTACATATATTACTAACTATTTTAATATAAATACAACCTCAACTGTATATTTAACAAACCATCCATGTTTTTTCATCTCTAAAGGCTTAAATATTCTGATGTTATAAATCTTAAACTTTAGGATCTGAAGTGAAAACATAGTTGAGCTTGTAGGGATCAAAATGTAGTTTGTCTCTTGTCGTTTTCCTAATGAGTTGGGTAAGAAGAGGAGATCAGATCAGCTTCTACGAAAGCCGTAGGATTTCTTACTCATTTATGTACGGTAGGTATTCATGGGGAATCAGACAACGTGCAACCGACCGTACCTATCCGGAAGGTGGTGACGTGTGCGGGCCCCACGTCTTATAACCTCTTTAGTTAAATGTTGTTTAGAATTAGTTAGTTTTTAAAATGTCTTTTATTTTAAAAAAATATTTAAAAACATTAATGTAAAACAAAAAAATTCAAATTTTAATAAATAATAAATTAAAACTCATTACCAAATATTTAAAAACATTAATTTCAAACAAAAAAATTGAAGGACTTTGATGTGTACTGATTTAGTTCAAGAGATAATTTTCTTGATTTTTTCTGCTTTAAATTCTTATGAGAAAACGTTTAATATACATATTAAATCAGAACATATGAGATTTTAATTGGTTTTATTCAAAATAAATATAATAATTTAATTTTCAAAAATTTTACTTTAAAGTCTTTTATTAAAAAAAATTCATGTGTTTTTTTTCTAAAAAAATTGGCATTGGTGTTTTAATTTCTTTTTTATTTGTATATGTGGCAATAAGGACCCATTGTATGTGTGAATTTTATAATACATGACAAATATTATTTATTAAAATTGACGCATAAAAATCCACGTGTCTTAACTATATATAAAAACACTTAGAATCACATCTATTTTATTATTATATATTTGATTAATTGATAATTAATTGAAATTTATGATATTTCTAAATCAACCTTCACTATTAATAATTGCAGGAGTAATTGTTATTTTTCATTTTGTTCATTTAAACTGAATCATTATTATACAATATAAAACGCTATAACGCTTGGAAATTTTATAAACTTTTTCAATTTTTTTACAGCAGCGTATAAAACATTGTAGAAAAAGTAATTTTATAAACTTTTTTTTTCTTACTTTAGTGGGAAAAAAGCTGTAATTTTTTTTTAATTTTCTTTTTATAAAAGCCAAATGTTCTTTTTTCTTTTCAAAAAACTCCTTATTTTGAAAGTGTGGTTCAAATAGTTAATATATGTTCCAAAAAGAAATGATATTTTTCTTATAGAAATGGTATGATAATAGTTAAGATTTTTGTTTTATACTTGAGATCACTTTATACTCGATCTATTTATTATTAATTTTTTATTCTTATTTTTGGTATTCTGTAATTTTTTTTTGGTTTTTCTATTTTTTCTTTATACTTTTTTAATAAAAAAATAATTATTTTTTATTCTTTACATTTGGAACATTTATCACTCTTCACCAAACATTTTTTATAATATTATTTTTATTCTTATCTCCATTTTTTTGTAATTCATTTATGTGATTTTTTCTTCTCTCTCTTTATGTTATTTTGAAAAATTATTATACAAGACTAAAAGAAATGGTATTTTAATTTACCAATTACAACATTATTTTTTTTTCTACAACGATAAAAATTAACAATAAAAATTAACTTGAGATCTTACACATCTTTAATAACAAATATGCTATTCATTTTACTTAATTATATTTTATCATTGGCCTTTTGATTCCTAATTATATTTTCTACTTGATGTCAAAAAATATATTAATAATATCTATATATTCATTCTTTTGTGTTAAAAAAAATTTATTCAAACCACAACAAAGCAAATTGAATAAACACTTTAACATCTTATATTTGTATTTATTAGTATAAATCCTGATTTATTTAATTAAATATATACATATACTATTTTAGTTATAACTAGGATTATTTTTTTTTGTAAAGACCCGCATTAAAAAAACATGTGCATTCATTAATGTTTTTGTCTCATATCCAAGAGGAAGGAGACAAGTGGAATATAGAAATGTTGCAATCCCATTGTTGGCCACTTAGAATCTGGCTACACCATAGTGGGCAATTAGAAGCCATGATAGGAACCCTAGACCACGTTCGACGTCTTTTTAAGACTTGTGAAGTCTCTTGATATTGTGCTGGTTGCCAAGGCATGTGAATCGTAATCCATCATCATAATATAATGCATTTCCTAGCTGGAGGAATATCCATGGCAGGTTACAAAACCAGAGACCTTCTTTATTACTAGAAAAAGGAGAGGCGTAGTAATGAAGGGTGGTGGTGTTTCTCCTATTCAGCTGTGAGTCAAGAATGGATGTTGATTTGTGAGTGTTTTTATTTTATAAATTGTTTTTTGTTTGAATAATTTTCTCATACCTTTTTGAATACTATAAAAAGACGAGGCATGATGGAGGGTGGTGATGTTTTTC